GTTTTTGAAAGGTATGAAAAAAGTCTTGTAATTATTTTTTCATTTTGTTTCAAATATTTTGTGTTCATTTATTCTCTCTTATGTATCTTTCACATCCAAAAGAAACTCAGGACAAATGATTAATTGTGGTGCCTATCAGCATACTAAAATGTCTGCTGGCTTCCAGGTTCACTCAGCACCTGTGGTTTCTCTCAGCTCTTCTTACCCCACTCCTATCCTAAAAGTTTCCAGCTCATGGGCTTCTCTTCCCCCAGCTTCTCTTTCCTATATACACCTGCCATTTCAGCCATGTGCCCTCTTGGTACTTGGTCTCTTTGTCCCCTTTCTCATGGCTCTCTTGGCTCTTGGTCCTTTCTCTTAGTCTTCTCCACTCTGCTCTCTTTTCTTCCTCTCTCCCTCTCTCCTCTCACGACTCAGTTCCATCTACTGGCCATGTTTAGTCTACTACTTTCTCTCCTGCTCTGCACTCTTGCAGATGTCTCTGTTTGTAGTCTCCCTCATATCCACAATAAAAACCTTCTCCTTAATCATACCTTGAGAGCGGTCATGTACTCACTTCATACATCTGGTGCCGAAACTCCCCCACTTTATACAGTTTGATGGTTTGTTGAATATGAACTCTTATTTAGCATAACACATATGTTTTCAAAGTTTAAACTTTATTATGTATATTTATTTTAGTCACATTATTACATGATGGCAATAATTATGATAATAAATATAAATGAACTGATAATCAGGGCTATCAACCCATACTTTACAATTTATTCTTTAGTTAAAAGTGAATGATGAGACCAGTGGGGCTAAGTAGTGAGCATGTCTGTCCCTTTTGTGCTACAAATGTCTTTGGCAAGCCAACAAACCAGTAAATAGTGAAATAAAACTTTGAGCTTTCAGTTAGCCTTGTTTGTAGAGGAGCCAGGGATACTTAGCAATGCAAGAATATAATATCTTAAAATTAAAATAAGGCAAGAGCCTGTGTAGCACAGCCATAGATAGTCATAAGTCTCCTGCATTTGTGAATTACTAAGAAAATCCTAACTTTTCCATTACTTCCTTCTATCTATTTTCTAAGTATGCTTTCCTTACTATGTTAACCTCCCTACCCTGACATTGGGGGATCTCTTATTCTTTCTTTACAGCTCCCCTCCCTGACATGTAGCTGCTTCTGCTTGATCTTAAGTGACATGGCTTTTCCTTCTCTCTCCCATTCTGAGATTTTATAGCTTGCCTGCTCTGCAGTCTTCCTTTGAAACTCTAATGAAATTATCTTTGTGCTTCAAAACAATTAAAACAAAGGAATAATTTCCATTTGAAAAGATTAGTAACTATGTGTATATGTTTTCATAATCTAAAAATATTTCCTCTGTAAGACTACAGCAGAGAAGGAAGATCAGTGGTCCTCAGCTGTATGGAGTACAAATGAAATGTCTAGACAGCCTGGGGTATATGTGGCTCTGTTTAAAACAAAAAGAAACTAGAGAATAAAAGAAAATACAACTTCCTTATTCTAGAAATCTGTTCATTTCACTTTATTGTGTAAACAGAAATGATACTCACCTGCATTTTCAAGTTTCCCTTACATTTCAATAGAAATATTTCCATAATATTTTAAAATATAAGTTATACTCAATTTACACAAATAACATCATTATTATTTTAATAATAGATGCATCAAAAGCATATACATATTAAATTCAAAAGGCTTTTTTTATTGAACTCAGTGGTTATAAAAACAATAAGAGAGTACAAAATTGGGGGGTGGACCTGGAGATGGAAGAAGAGAGGTAGCAATGAATATCATTAAAATACTTTGTATGAGTGTATGAAATTCTCAAAGAATAAATAGAAATATATTAAAATGATAAAAAATATATGCACAGATCCATAGATGATGCATTCATGCATACTTTATGTATGTACATATGTATGCTGAGACAGAACATGTATAATCAGATTATAGAGTATCTTGTACATTAAGAAAGTAAGAGCTAAACAACTTACAATGATAGAGGAATTGAAAGAAACAGAAGAGCATTTTGAAAGAGTTGATAAAGGCCAAAGACTCAAGAAGTTGAGTCTTCAAATGGACAATATAATGCAGAATTCCAAGTAATTTATTTGTATGTTCACATTAGTTTCTTTTCTGTTGCTGTGACAAAACACCATAACCAAGGCACCTTACAGAAAAAAAAGAGTTTGTTTGGGCTTATGGTTCAAGAGGGAAAGTGCCAGGAGCCATTCCCCGGTGGTGGATGGGTCCTGCAGAGGGTGTAAGGAGTCGGCGGGAGAAGGAAGTGAGCCAGGCCATGGTGGTCGGGAGAATCTTGCAGCCTGACTGACTAGCAGCCAGAGTGTTTCTTTATTTATACAGAATTTAGTTAGCAGGGATACATTCATGATGTCCCAAAACATAGATCATATCATTTTTGTTTTTGGACATGTGTTTCACTTTCTTTTGCTCATCTTTTAGTCATCATTAATAAACTATGACAGAACAGAGTTATCATTTCCAATCATTTTCCCTCAAATTTTGACATCACTAATAAACAGAGTTATCATTCTTACTCATTAACCCCATAACCCAATTTTTGAGAATCTAGAGGCATATGACAGCCTGTACTCAGGCTGGTTGTTTTGGTTGCTTCAAGGACATTAGACCAAAACAAAATCTTCAACCACCCTGGGCATTTTGCCATGATCCAAACAGTGTATTATTAACTCTTAGTGGTCAGAATGCCCAGGAAAAACCCTCAGGCTAAAGCTGCAGTTATTACAATCAATGTTCACATTTATATTCTTATAGAATTTGTTTATTTGTCTAATCCTGGCATTCTGTTGTTCCTTGGTCATATGACATTATAGTGGCTCTACATGAGCTAACTTCTAAGAGAGGGAGGTCCTAACACCTCATACTTTCATCATCTTTCCACTCCACACTTTGCTCATCAATATGTCTTTGTGTAGGGCAGTTGTATGCCACATAATTGTCTGAGTGTACAGTGGGAAGAGCCTTGTAATGTCAACTGTGGACAATTCCTCTAGCCCACTGAATCTTGTTGACCTTTTTAATTTTGCTTTGTTTTGAATATCTTGTTCCAGTATAAGTACAGGGACAGATGTTTCAAGAATGTTTCATAGCCTCATGAAGAGACCTCTGGCTTCTTTATGTGTCACAACCTCCAAGGCATAAGGAAGACCTTCAAGTAGATAAGGATATCTCCCTCAAAGTGTGTGTGTGTGTGTGGGGGGGGAATAGTATGTTCAGAACTTTCCTGGATAAGCTTAGAAGCAGCATTCCTGGGAGAAGGCATAAATGATTCATCAATCCAATATTCTCAAATTGTACAAATATTAAAAGTGCCCCAAGTATGTAACAGGTAGAGATGAAAACCAAAGGTGGCATGGCAGCCATCATGTGACTCAACTTTGCTGGATCTTTGTCAAGCAACTGTGCTGGCATTATGACTTCTGCCATTCCATTCAGATATGGCTATGCCAGGAAAGAGTCTATCATGGTGAACAGGCATGGCAGCAAATTGCAAGCATAACAGCAGGAGCATCTCAACTGTAAGCAGAAAGCAGAGGGAGGGAATTGGGAATAGGGAAAGGCTATAAATCTCAAAGCCTACTCACAGTTACATACTCCCTTCTCTTGCTGGATTAAAGGCATGTGCCACCACCACCTGGCAAATTATCTTATTATTGAAGCCAGACCTATATATAGGCTATACCTCCTAAACCTCACCAAACAGTACCACCAACTGGGGACAAGGGATTCAAATGCTTGAGCTTATGCAGTACATTTCTCCTTCAAACAGCCACAGTGCTCTTCCTAATTAGGTGCACCACAATTCTGAACTCCTTAAAAGTGAGACAAAAGTATTAACATATTAACAATAGATATAAGAATACCTATTGTTAACAATAACAGAAGGAATGAAATAACAAGTAAAGGAGGGTTGCATCCAAAAAGAAAAGAAATCAAGTTTGTAATATAAAAACCTTGCTAGCTATCAGGATTATGCCAGTTTTGTCAGTGGTATATACACTTGATAGGAAATAGTAAGAAATGCATTTTACCTCCATGAGATTGCTCATAAGAACCAACTGGGTAAATCACAACTGAGGAACATTTTCTAAAATATCTAACCAGTACTAGTTCAATATAAATGTTAGAAACTGTTATTTTCAAGCAGGACCTCAGGAGACAAAGTAATGAAGTAGTATGATATGCTCAAAAAAGATATGGTACAAAAACTAAAAGAATATGGATGAATTACTGATTTTAGTTCCTAGAATGTGACAATATGTCTTTTCTTAGTTGTGGTAAATACACTACTGGAAGATTAATGCTAGAGAAAATTGTATGAGTGATACATAGGAACTCTACTATTTATGTAGTAATTTTAAAATCTAAATTTACTATGTGAAGTAGAGTTGCTCTCCCTCGATTTATTTCTTCCACAATCTAATAAACCTATATTTTAGTGGTCTGGCTTCAATAATAAGATAATTCGCTGGGTGGTGGTGGCACACACCTTTAATTCCAGCACTTGGGAGGCAGAGGCAGGCAGATCTCTGTGAGTTCAAGGCCAGCCTGGGCTACAGAGTGAGTTCCAGGAAAGGCGCAGCTACACAGAGAAACTCTGTCTTGAAAAACCAAAAATAAATAAATAAAAGATAATTCACTAGGGGATCAAAGAATCATAATTTAAATATTCTTATGGAATAGCATCACTTGATGGTACTATGTATTTTCCCCATCAGAATAATAATTGTATGAATTTTTTGTTTTACTTATATTGTAATTGATATTGGCCATCTTTTGTATTGTCTGTGACATTCATCTCCTTCTCTTTGAATTGTTTCTCCCCATTTCTTATCCACTATTTTCTTGTAAAATAAAATAACTGATTAAACTTTTCTTGTTGTTTTAGATTCTGAAAAAATATATTTTAGTTGCATACTAAATTCAATGTATTCTTTTTGTTTTTCAGATGGCAAAAGATACCTTTTGAGGCAACAACACTAGGTGAGGTTGGGGGGATGTGGGGACCCTGGGGTAGGTCCAGGACTCCTGGGGCCCTAAAGGTGCAGGCCCTTCCCAGGCATTTGGCACTGAGGACTGGGACAGATGGTAGTGGGTCAGCTTGTGTGCAGCCAGCAGCCCGTCTCCTTCACCTCTTTAGTTACCTCCAGGCACAGGCCTGGTGCCAGGGTGGCTGCCAGGAAGGCTCTGATGCTGTCCATCTAGTCCAAATTCTCCTAGCTAAAGAGCTGCTCTTGGAGGATGTTATCGAGCTGCTGACATACCTGGGATGGGGGGGGGGGGGGCTCCACTGCATGCTTCCGGGGCCTAAGATACACTCTTCTGGACTCATGCTGTCTGACCTCTCTGTTCCCTAAGAACTGCTGCTCTCATACAACACATTTTTTCTCTGTTCCCTGGGACCCTTCTCTCTTTACTGTATTATATGCACATTTTTGTTGGTGTTTTTTGTGTATTTGGGTCCTTTAACATTTTAAATGCTTTCTCTATCACAAAATTATAAATGCACTTGCCTACATTTCATTGTAATTCTTTAGGGGCTCTATTTATTTTGATTTGAAAAATATTTCACTCATATGGGTATTTGTTAAATGCGACATGCTGTGTTGTGCCTATTGGAATGATTGAAAAAAATTAAACAAATTCAGTGTAGCTGAAACAGTTGGAATTGAGAAAGAATCCTGTAGTGGTTTGAATAGAATGGTCCCAATGGACTCACGTGTTTGAATGCTTGGCCCATATAGAGTGATACTATTAGGAGGTATGGTCCTGTTGAAGGAAGTGTGTCACTGTGAGGGCAGGCTTTGAGCTCTTATATGGTCAAGCTAGGCCTAGTGTGGCAGATCTGCTGCCTGCAGATCAAGATGTATAACTCTCAGCTTCTTCTTCAGCACCATGTCTGCCCACATGTCATGTTTCCCACCATGACATTAGTGGACTAAACCTCTGAACAGTAAGCCACCTGCAATTAAATGTTTTCTTTTATAAGAGTTGCTGTGGTCATGGTGTCTCTTCATAGCAATAGAAACATTAATTAAGACAAATCTTATGACAGATTATGTTTAGTAAATGGACAGGGACCATATTAAAGAAGTATTGGTGATATATGGCATGAAAGAAGGGAGAAAAGTAAAACAATAATAAAAAATAGAGTCATCCACACATAAGTTGCATCAGCTATACCTAGTATATTATAAAAATCAAAGTACCAGGAGGCAGTTTGTGACTGTCTTTTGTAAATGGTACAGTTTATTCTGGTACAATTAGGATTGAGACGCTTGATGTCTTGTCCCATTTTCTGTTGCTTTTCTCATGAGTATTCCCATGCATCCTTCAGATGTCAACATAGCTGAGGGAAATCTGCTGACAGACAGGGTCATTCATGTGACTTAGGGGTTCTAAGTTACTTAAGGGAAGGAAAGATTATAATAATAATTAGTGTTTAGGGACTGCAAGAATTTTCCCCTCAGGATCAAGAAACACCCTAGCAGACTCATAGTTAGTTGTATAATGGTCTTTTTCTATGAAGGTTCTTTCAAACAACAGGTGAGAATCATTTAGAGGATGATATTTATAAAATTATTTTTACTTTAAAAAGAACTATTTCCAGTTATCTGTTGTTTCAATATGGCCTGAATTTGAGTTTGGACAATATAAAATATAATTTTATGCTGTTATTCATTTTCTTAACTGTAGAACTTTTGATGAGAATAAAGTTTGGGAGATACAGATAAAGCAGGAAATACATCTAGTGAGAACTCCAAACTCTTTAATAATGTAGGCACTCTGCCAAAGACCTGTGTTGTGAGCCTATAGCTTTCATGCTAAATACTGTGCTTTCTTTTCCTTAGTTAATTTCACTTGTAACTTGGCAACTATTGTACAGAATGATCCATAAACTCATACTTTTTCATTTAATTGCCATGGAAATTTGATAATTTCATCCTAAAGGAGAGTTGAGGAAAACTCAGGAAGAGATCCGATTACTGAAAACTGGAAAAAATTATTCTTGATTAAAGCACTTCCCCCATGAAAATAGGACCTCCTGAACTTTGTAAGAGCTGATTACTGGAGGCCATTCTTTGGGGGAATGCATAACTGTACTTATTCTACAAATTTCCAGGGATATTGGAGTTGAATAGTGGAGACATCAAAAAGACTTTTAAAGGTGCAATTTAGTGGAATGTTGGCAGCAGCTTATTTCAGTTCCTCTCTATAATGAAGTGCCAAAATATGCAAACCACTTTCCAAACCTATGATGACTGTAAGGAATTTCTGTCAGCTGTCATCACCAATAAAGCTTCCTAGGTGAGAAAAAAATGAAACTGGAAGGTCACAGGAGATTTATTGTTCACTTTTAAAAAGGCATAGCATATATCAATCATTAGGGATCTGGTTGGTTTCTTTGCTTCCCTTAATGATTTCAAACATAAGTATTGGAAAGAGATAGCAAAGATTAGATTACCTACATTTTTTATTTTCATAACTTCATCTTTAGGACACAAATCAGTAATTGTATCTCAAAATGTCTCACCATGTTAATTCAGAATTAAGAATGTGTTGCTTTCCATATGACATAAAAAACATCAATCTACTACAGTTCTTTGCTTAGGTCTTAATGCTGACATGACTTCAATTAATTTCATTTGATTAGAAAAATCGATACTTTATAGGGTGATGCAAACACAGGAAATAAACAATTTTAAGGTCTGGAGTTATTTTGGATGATGTTGTCATGGATCAAACCTGTATTTGCGTTTCATTTCTTAATTTAACATCTGGCATGACTGACAGGAAAATTTTCTATCTCAATATCAATAATATGATTTTCTACCATGTTCTTTCCAGAAAATTGCAAGTTCTTTATCACTTTCATCAGGTTCAATTAATAAATGTAAATATTAACTTCCTATATTGTAAACATGTAGTGCACAGAATATAAACATTATAATATTTCTTGAATATTATATAGTTGTTATTGACACCAGATACTCAGTAAATTAAACATATTCCTGGATAAATCTATTCTAGTAGGCAATTCAGAGATAGAAATTATATACAAATTAGTGTTTCTTTCACATTTCCAGCTATGTAGAGGATTTTTAAAACATTTAGAAAGAAAGCTGTTTTTGAAACAGCTACTAGTAGGGTAAATAGCACAATTAGAGACGATTGAACAATTGCACGCGAAACCAATCATATTGAATGAGAATGTCAGAAAGTCAAAGTATGATGGTTTTCCTCCCCAATATTAGAAACCTCATGATTCCCCAGGACCACAAAAACAAAGTGTAGATTCCCAGTGTTCAGTCATGGAATGGACAGAAATAGAAAGCAAATTTCTATTATTTTTATATGACATCTCTAAGCAGTGATTGTATTTTGGAACCTCATAGATGATCATTAGTGTAGTTGAACATTTCCTAAACAGTAGTTCATTAACTAAGTCAGTGCATCTGACTGGATGCTATCTTTATTCAGACTTTTCCCTTGATTAGAATGAAATACTTTTCCTTCAATTTCTACTCAATTTAATCTAATGTTTAGACCCAGGAGACGATTTTTATCACATTCCTAAGAGAAAGTATATTTTAATATTTGGAGAGAACTATTGTATCCCTAAATCCATATTTCTCTAGTATGTGTAGCACAGATCCCCTTCAAGCTTCCACTATATAATCTATTTCCAGGCTATTTATGATAGAGATCACCTCTTAAGATGTGATAATTTGTCATTATCCCATTTGAAATATTGTATAAAACTGAATATTCCTTTTCAAATATGAATACTACATTACACATTTTATAAATTATTTTATTATTTTATGTATATGAGTATTTTGCCTAGATGTATGTTTGTGCATCACATGTGTGCCTGGTGCCTGTGGAGATAAAAAGAGGGCTTCGGATCTCATGGGACTGGAGTTCCAGACAGTTGTAAGTCATCATGCCGATGCTGGGTATTGAACTGAGGTCCTCTGCAAGAATGACAAGTGCTCTTAACTGCTGAGCCAACTCTTCAGTGCCCATTGCACATTTCTCAGTCAATATGTTTCAATGTTAAACTGGACTGTCATGCTAACATGGTATTCTAATGCTCAATGACCATCTGTTTTTTATATGCAGCATTGTTTCTGCCACTTTCGTAATGTGTAATAATGTCAGCTTAGTGAAGAAAAACTAAGTTTAGTGCTCAGTTTGCATACAACTGAAGGGTGGATATCCAAGAGAATATTTGCAAAGGATGTAAACTCTGATGTTCTTCCTTTCCTACTATATTGGTAGCATATAGAAAGGAGAGCCTCCTAGAAGAAGGTCAGCTTTATAGTATTATTGAGAAAGACAAACTTACAATTCAGGTTATGTGAAAACATAAATTGATTTCTTTTCCACTTTATTTAGCTACTTGGGATTAGAAATAATAACCAAATTCAAAAAAGGTGACTTAAGCTGAAGAAACAGCAAGAACAGAGCAAATGAGTGTTGAAAACTTAATTTTGTTTGTGAAAAATTCATGGACAACATTAACATAAAGAAAAGTTGACAGCAGAGCAGGGAATTGGCTGAGAAAAGAAGAGGAAGAGCATATGGTAATTTTGTCAATTCTCTGTATGGCCATAATTCTTTGTGAGTCTAAGTCTGAAAAATTCACCTGCTAAGTGAAATCAATATGAAATCCAACTGCTCTGCCATGTTTTGCTGAAGTTTTAATCTCACTCAGTGAGAGACAGGCTCTTGACCTTGCCATGGCTTTTGAACAGCAGCCTCAGATCTGTTTTTACTATCAACAGAAAAAAGAATGGGAAAAACAGGAGAAATTCAAATGGGAATAGGAATAGAGAATAGTACAATTGTTGACTAAACTCAGTGGCTTCATATTTTAAAAATAGTTGACTGTTAGAACAAAAAATAGAGCTCAGAGATAGCATATCTGTAGGAAAAACATCCAGAAATATTAATGAGTTATTCAAGTTAAATAGCTGCTGTCAAAGAAGGGTAATAATTGGAGATGTTTGGATTCAGCACCTTCGAACTATAAGAATCACTCTTTTTGGTACAGATGTTCAGAAATGACAGAAACAAGGCCAAAGAAGAAAACCAAATCCTTGCAAGAAATCAATCTTTTCTGTTTCCTTTGTCTTTTTTGTACGGGATATCAATACAAACTACATGGTGTGGGAATATAGATAGGCACTGATGGTCAGTCTTTTAACTGGGTACAGCAGTATGGAATGGATCCAGACAACAAGAAATCCTGTTACTCAGAATCACTAGAGAGAGGGGGATCATTAAATACATATATATAAATCATTACTTGTATTTAATTCCAGTCCAATATTGAGTCTACTGAAAAAGACTGATGCAGAAAGGTTATTACATTAAAGTGCATGTCAACTACATTTATTTCTCAAATCAAACAACTGTGGTTATTTACAACTATATTGCTACAGTTTTTAAAATAATTAATCCAGTATTAAAATGAGCTTTTCAGAACAGATTTTAGAGACCATGGTAGCTATTGGATTCTGTGGTGATATTTGTCCTGAAATAAGCACATATTTGTCATGTTAATCAATATCTCACTTACTAGACAGATGTTACCCAGCAGAAAGTGCTTGATCACATTATTTTACAGTACAGTTGAACTGATGTTTAAAAGCTGTAGTTTGTTCAACTTGTCAATTAAATGCTACTCCATGTACAGTTCCTAAAAAACTGGAAACTTAGAAAACCTTTCATTCACTTTAAAAAGATAGTCTTCTTTTACCAGAATCTTCATATATGTGTCACATGGGTTCTCCAAAACAAAGAGACATGTTCTTGTTGGACTTGATAGGTTTTTAAAGATAAATACTAATCATAAGTCTTGGTCACTCAAGATTTCACATAAACCTGTATTAAACTCAATAGCTTCCATCAATCAGTGAATCCTCATCAGGATTGCCTGTATATTACAGAATATTCAAGAGAGAAAAAAAACATATGGAATATAAGAAAAGTTACAACATAAGAAAACTATAAATTAAAGAGTTCTGAAATGAAATAATAACAACACTGAGAAGTAAATAGTATTATACGGTATACAAAAACAAGAATTTTATCCTTGGCCAAATAATTGTTATCTATAAAATTAAAGCAATTAGACTCAATTGATAATATCTATTATAATTCCACTTGGTATCTATGGTTAAGACTAAATAGATAAATTAAATCTTTTACAAGATTATTTTCTTTTTATAAATCTTAATAACTTTTTTCTTTTTTTCCCCCACTGTCCTTCCTGCCTCCCAAATCCTAATATATATATATATATATATATATATATATATATATATATATATATATATATATATATATATATATATACCCCTACTTACTCTTTTTCAAATTCTGGCCTATTTGTCTTAACTCTTTATATATATTATATATATATATATCATATAATACATATATATATAGTTATAGTTATATTCCTAAGTACATAAATACAACCTGCTCAATCTGTATAATAGTTGTATGTGTGTTTTAAGAGCTAACCATTGGTACTGAATCTGAATAACCAGTTGGTGTGTGCTCCTCCTTGGGGAAGACTATTTCCCCACTCTCAGCATTCATTAGTTGCCTGTAATTTTTGGTATATGGTTGAGGTCTCCTGGGCTTTCCCCCATCCATGTTAGCATGTTCATTGTTATTGTCCTTGTTCAGCTCATGTTTAGGTAGTCATGTTAATAAGACTTTATGGGTGCAGCTTCTGACATTTCTAGGAGACATAATTTCCTTGTTCCTCTTGCTCTTACGGTCTTCCCATACCCACTTCCACAGTGATTTTCGAGCCTTGGCTGCAAAAGATGTTTTGTAGATGTATCCATTTGGACCAGGCTCCATAACTCTACATTTTGATTAGTTGTAGTTTTCTGTAATGGTTTCCATCTGTTACAAATAGAAACTTCCTTTTTGACAGGTGAGAGCTACACTTATCTGTTGGTATAACAATATATAACAAAAATGTAGTTAGAGACGATACTGGTTTAGTGAAGTGGTGGCTGTAGGTTTTTCTCCAAGGTTCGTGACTTTATTAGCACTGGATATTTGTCTATGTTTCCATTACTAGGCATGACTTCCCTCTTGTTGAGTGGGTCTGAAGTCCAATTAGAGAGCTGTTGGTTACCCCTAAGGTATGTGTGCCACACTGTTGTCATTCATAGATATCACAGTTAGGTAAACAGTTGATTGCTTACTTCCTATGGAAGCTTCTATTGTGTCTTCTGGTATCATGAAAGCTAGTCATTAGGGAAGGGGTTTTCAGTCCTGCATGGTGGCTCACACTTATAATCCCAACACTCAAGAGGCTGAGGCAGGAGGATTGCTATGAGTTTTAGATCAGGTCAACCTACAGTGTGAGACCTTATGTCATTCCATGATTCTTCATTTATGGTCTAAATAATTTCTTTTATAAAAAAGGAAAGGAGGCCGGGCAGTGGTGGTGCATGCCTTTAATCCCAGCACTTGGGAGGCAGAGTCAGGCAGATCTCTGTGAGTTCAAGGCCAGCCTGGTCTACAGAGCAAGATCTAGGACAAGCACCAGAACTACACAGAGAAACCCTGTCTCAAAAAAAAAAAGGAAAGGAGGAACATGAGCAGAGTAGTATTTTACCCAGGAAATGATCAAATTCAGTATATTCTTGATACACTATAACTGCTAGCCTTTGCCTTCTTCTAGACACTCAAAAGTCATACCCTAGGTCAAACAGAAGTAATAATTGTACATGTTTCTACATGTTCTTGACTTTTAAAAGTGTGTTTTCCTATATCTTCACAGGAACCTGTGTTGAAGGTTTAATAATACCCTTGACATTTGTGAAATACATGAATTGAGGAATTGAGCGATTTAATTATTTACCTCGTCTCAGGTAAACAAGCCTGGAATGCTAGTCTGTTTATTTCTACCTCTCTGTGCTTTTCACTATGTCATTGTTCAGCCTCAAATGTTGATAAATATTAACGGTAACTAAATCATCTGGAATAGTGTATACCTATGTTTCCTAACAATAACCACCAAATTTCAGTGATGTAATAAAAGCCAAGTTTCTTATTTATGCTACATATAATGTATAGATCAGCAAGGGGCTCTACTTATTCACTTACTCAATGACCATTTGGGCAAATTACACAGCATTTTATAGTTGTACTATCTAGAACACAAGGCATCCATGATAAAAAGAGCAGAAAAGTAGAAAATCATAATAAAAAATATTGTTTCTTTTTATCATTTGATCCAGAAGTGAGTGATGCATATTGTTTTCACTTACAGCCTATGGGTCAGAATATATGGCATAACTAAAAAGGATCTGAGAGATATTGAAGACCACATGGATATATAGTAAGCAGTAAAATGTCTCTGCTCTGATAGGTAATATCCACTGAGTACTTGATACTTACCAAGCAGCATGCTGTGCCATTATTTAATGCTCACTTTTGCCATGTACTCTAGATGTGACAATTTTTGCTGATTATAAATTTAAGTTTAAGAGTGACAGTTTGAACAAGGTTATACTGATAGTAAGTGAAAATGCCTTCTTTCAAACTCATATTTTTGTGATCCTAGAACCAGAACCACACTAATTTGTTTAAAGCCACAAACACTTCATTTTCTTAGTCAACTTTTGATCCTTTATAAATATGAGCTAAAGTTTTCACTTACTCCTTCAAACACATAATTTCTATTTCAACTTTTACCTTCATTTTAAATGAATGACATATTTTGAGTAAAAGGAGACAGAAGAACCCATGCTGAAGAAATTTCTCTTCTTGTATTTTCTCTCCTTTTTCACATTAGTACTGCCTCATGTGGGAAGCCTGAGAGTCTGCCCAGAAAAGGTGGTTATCTATTTGAGTGTACATCCTCTTGCCCCGTTACATATCATGGATGCTACTTACGACCCATTCCCTGTATATAGAAAGATGAGCACCATCTTCATTACGACTCACAGAAGACATAAAGATATTGCTAATGATTCAGAATATCCCTGTTCTATGATGCCTCCTGTCTTAGTTTGCTTTCCATTGTTGTGACAACAACATGTCCAAAAGAAAGGTGGGGGATGGAAAGTTTTATTTCTGCTTATAAGTTACAATCCATCACCAAGAGAAGGGAAGTCACAGCAGCAACCTGAAGGTAGCACCTGAAGCAGAAGCCCTAGAAGAACACTGTTTACTAGCTTGCTTCTCTTGTCTTGCTCAGCCTGGTTTCTTGTATTATCCAGGACCACTTGCCTAGGATTAGTACAACCCACAATGAGCTCAGTCTTCCCAAATAAATCATTAATCAAGAAATGCCCCCACAGACTTGCCTACAGAATTATCTTATGGAGGTGTTTTCTCAATTGAGGTTCCCTTTCTCAGATAACTAGTTTGTGTCAAGCTGACAAAACAACTAGTCAGCACAGCTCCTTTTGTAACAATTTACAATGAAGTTTACCAAGTCAAACTGTACTAGTAATATGTGGGAATTAGAGCCTTATAAAAGACATTCTACATGGTGTTCCCCTCATTTGCCTTCTGTCTTCAGCTATATTAAAGACAGTGTCTGTTTTCCTCTGGAGGATGCAGCACATGTACTCTTTTGGAAGCTATGAGCAGCCTCCACCAGAAAATAAATGTGGCTGAGCCTTGATCTTGGACCACCAAGTCTCAAAATGTGAGAATTAAATGTATTTTCTTCATAAGTGACTCAATCTCTGATAATTGGTTAAAGGAGCACAAATGGACTACAGCAGCTAGTGTCTCACAGACTCATTTAATGTGGGACCGAATGTGATTTCCCTTGTTTAAGCAGTGAGGGGATGTGATTCAATGAATCATCATTTATTTATAAGCTCCCGAGTAGTTACAGACCACACATTCAAATCCTCAGTCTAGATTAATTTAAAATAACCACTTTTTTTTTAAATCTCAATTCTGGCTGGGTGGTGGTGGCACACACCTTTAATCCCAGCACTTAGGAGGCAGAGGCAGGCGGGTCTCTGTGAGTTCAAGGCCAGCTTGGTTTACAGAGGGATTCCAGGACAGCAGAACTGCACACAGAGAAACCCTGTCTTGAAAAACCAACCAAACCAAACCAAACCAAAACAAAACAAAACAAAAAACCCACTCAATTCTGTAGAGTTAATTTCAAACTCCAAATACTAGTAATGCTTTTATTAGATTGGTGAAACACTTTCATTATATATTCATAACTCGTAGCCTAGAATAACTGCATGGGAAATAACTCATAGTTTAGAATAATTACAATACTAGGAAATAGTCAAGGATGTTCTCAAAACGTACAGATAGTCAAGATTATTAAGTAATTGCATATGTGTTAACTGGTTATTAGAGCATTTTTTGTACAATGGTTTATTTGATAAACATCAATTACTGTTTTAATTTTTAAAAGGAAAATTTAAATTAGACTTCAAAACACTTTAGTACTTTAGTCTATAATCTTTTACCAGCTGATCTCCACGGCCATTCTTGCCTTGCAAAGAAAAAAAACAAAAATACCATTTCATGCAAAGCCCAACACAGAGACAATCTATAAAAAGCATTAAAAATTTAAATATGTTCCTTTTAATCTTACCATGGACTATTAGGAGATTATCCCTTAGTTGTGTAAATTTAGGCAAGTAGGGAAGAATTACCTTAATATTAACTTTCATGTTCTGAATTGAGATAAAAATATCTTCCCTGTGAACAGCATAGTTTTTGTTTGTGAATTACATATTTTAATCTAAGAAAAAGTTGTTTGAACAATTAGAATTTCTCTACCAACTTAATGTATATTGATGTATGTTACATCGTGAACTAATATTTTCTACATATATGTAAGTTTCCATATGCTGACACTTGCATTATTACTTATCTTGCCTTATTGTTCATGTACAGAAAGCAAAAAAGTCTAAGAGGCAAGGTTACCTCTCCTAAATCCTACAAACAACAGACAATTTGAAGACGTACTATCATTCCTTGGTGCCTTCTGTGTACCGGACATGAGACTAGGCCTATTATTCCTTTATCCTTGTCCTAACACTGAGAAATAGACGTTCTTTCCTCCATCATACATTTGAAAAATTGAATATTGGGGGTGGGGTGTCAGTAAATTGTCCAAGGTCACTCACCTGGTTAGTAACAGAGATAGAATTCATTCACGAGTTTCCAGGAGTCTAAAGCCCCTTCCTTCATTTTGCACTGTCTTTCAGAGATCATAGTCACGTGTCAGGGCAATGTTCAATTTATCTTGGCATGAATGCATGCTTTCCAGATGCTGAGAGCTATAGAATAGCGTTGTTCTTTCATTTCCTTTTAACTCACTTGCTTTTTCTAACAAAATAAGCTGCTCTATTCTAGTGTCTGCTCTGCTGACCTTGTGTCTCTTTGCTAAATATCTAATTTTTTAAATTTACCCTTTCTTTCTGTAAGGCTGAAATGTTTTTGATTGGATTTATCATACTCCAGAAATTTAGGATCTTTTGAGTGTTTACAAGGATAGCCTTTTCCCCTGGATTTGATTATCTCATTGACAGCAGCCGATATCCTCACGCTTAGGAATGTATTTACTTATAGGCACATAAGTAATTCATTTATAAAATTGAATTATCTGACTAGGGAGATTGTGTGTTTTGATTGTGTAGCAGTCCTTCTGAAACTGACTTACAATTGATAAAAGCCAGATGGAAAGCGGAAACAGTCCATTTCATGACTCTTTAAATGTTTAAGTTTGTTAACTCGTGCACTTCACATGTTTTGAAGTTCGGTGGCAGGGTGGAAACAATTTGTTGGTAAGTTTTAATATGCAAAATATGAAGCAAGTACTTAGAGCCTTCTAGTACAGCAGAAAGGCTTTTGACTTTAGAATAGTTTGAGAGACAACATAGAAATAGCTCATCTTTAAACTCTTGTTTTTAATTCCTTTTTCATTATTGTACGTTTTTCATCTAAATGGTTTTTAACATGTATGTTCTCTGTGTTAACACCTCAGAGTTAAAATGATTTTTAGTATATTATTATACTGTCACATATTCCATAAGTAATTGACTCAAGCACAGCAATAAGTATATTTCTTTTTAATTTTTTTATTCAAAATTAAAATATAATTACACCATTTCCTCTTTCCTTCCTCAATCTCCCCATTCTCACTATAATTCATGGTCTCTGGTCTCTTTTTCTTTAATTGTTGTTACACACACATACATATATATATATATATATATATATATATTCATAAATATATAAAGAAAATACACTCATTTGTGTATATGCTTTCCCAATCCTAGACAAAGAATTGCAGGCAACTAAGGAATACAAACTGCAGGAGAAAATAGTCTTTCCCAGGGAAGAGAACACAAAATGATTACCCAACAAGTGTATTTTTTAATATGACATTTGTACTTTGTGTTTGTATGATGCTTGTATGTGTGAATTGTGTTCACATACTTATGTGTGGGAGTGGAAGCATGTGCATGTTGAGTCATATATGTGGATGTCAGCGGACAAGTGTGTGTCAGTTCCTCACCTTCTACCTTGTTTGAGACATGGTCCCTTGTTGTGTGCAGTTGTGTACACCCGGCTAGCTGGCCCATTTGCTTCTCAAGAGTTTGCAGTATCCATGTTCCATATTTCTATAGGATTACTTGGATTAGAAGCACATGGCAATACACCCGCTTTATATAGGTTTGGGGCAGTTTAACTAAGGTCTTCATGCTTGGACAGCAAGCACTGTACCTACTAAGCAATCCCCTTAGCTTGACATTTGTAAGTTTTTCAATAATAACTTAGATGCTATATAATAACATAAGCATTTTTAGTGATTATAACTATCTTCACAGCCATATTCTGTGGTGTTTGCTGTTTTTATCACTATTCTTCAAGCTCA